TGTTTTGTGTTTTTTTAATTCATCCCTTTCTCTTCGTTTCTCAAATTTTGTTTTTCAGCTTTTTTTTCGCGTCACAGCAGCCATCTTGGGGGAACTTCAACAAAGGATTTCTCATCAGTATCTACTGTTCGTTCCTCCAACATGGCCGCCGGTCTTTTGTCTTTTAAACCTCATGGGAACGGTTAAATAGGATCAATTTTGTTTGAATGACCTTTCCTTTCCATTTCTGTGTCTTTTATACCGGATTTCCTTCCCATTTGTCTTTCTCTTTTCATTTCGCTTGTCTAACCAAGAACATCTTATTCAGGTGTATGCTCTGTCCACCCACCCATATGGCTGCCGTGTTATTCAGCGCATTTTAGAGCACTGCCTACCAGAACAGACCATGCCAATACTAGCCGAGATGCACGACCAGACAGAGCGCCTTGTACAGGACCAGTATGGCAACTACGTTATTCAACATGTCCTGGAACATGGGACGCCGGAAGATCGGAACAAGATTGTCATGCAGCTTCGAGGAAACATTCTAGTTCTGAGTCAACACAAGTTTGCAAGGTAACATTGGCTTTCATSGTTCAAGTCTTAACAGCATTCGTTATTAATTACAAATCGTCCCGATTGTATGTTGTCTAAGGCCTCGGTGACCTGAGTCAAATTTCGAACTTATTTTTCTGTGTCGCAGCAGTAGCTGTCTGCGGCAAATAGTTGCCCAAGAACGCAGTTCAAGGGTGACTATGAGGTTTTGAAGAACATCCAGTTTCCAAGGGCAACTATCAAAGCAAGTGCCCAAGTTTTCAACTGCTCTAGAGTTACTCAACAACTAAAATTTCCGAAGCGAGTGCTCTATGCACTGATAGCATCGATGATAGTAGCCCACCACGTGGTCGACTCTCCGCCATCATGGAAGTGAGAGCGAAGGAAGATTTGTTATTGAATTATATAACCAGGAAGTAATGGAGTCCAATCATAAACATGCCTTCGGACAAACCAACTTGTCCGGGATTAGCCAAATCATGATATGAGTTTTATTTTTCGTTGTCTAATTATCCCTGCATGTTTATTTCCAGTAATGTGGTTGAAAAATGCGTTAGTTTTGCTTCAAGAGCAGAGCGAGCTGTGCTTATCGACGAAGTCTGCAATACGACGGATAGGTATGTCAATTGATATCAGTCGTCAGTAGTTAGCTTGCACAGCGGTCGTTGCTTGTTTTGTCACGCTCAAAAATCGGACTGTCATACYCAGTCTCGACGTCTGCCTTGCTGACTCGGCTAAAACCATTTGTGATCAAGTGTATTGTAGGTCGAGTAATGTGCTAGTACGATGTATCCCAAATCTTCTGGTTCTCACAAAATACAACTTTTTATCTGACATACTAATTTATCAATTTATCAAACATTTATCAATGATTATCAAAAGCTAGTGCAAGCTAAGTTGTTGATCAAGTTACTTCATACTTATAATAAACTATTRAGTTAACAAAAGCTTTGTTTCTCAGCCAAACCCAGCAATCTGCCCTCTACTTGATGATGAAAGACCAGTTTGCCAACTACGTGGTGCAAAAAATGATTGATGTTGCGGAACCGGTTCAACGTAAGCTGCTTATGCATCGCATTCGTCCCCACATATCTACGTTACGTAAGTACACTTACGGAAAGCACATCTTGGCTAAGCTTGAGAAGTACTATATGACAGTGAAGCCAACGCCAGACTTCCTGCCGCTGACCAATGGTCAGTTACTGTAGTGGGCGCACTACCTAATTAACGTGAATTCTTATTCAAACTATTATTGACTTTTTAAATTAAAATACTAGATTTGTTTCCTTTTATGCACACATTGTAGATTAGTAATTGTAGATGAAGTTAATAAGTGTGCATAATTGGGCTTCCTTTGGAGCGTAACCCAGGCATTCATGATTTGTCAACCACAGGAATCCTGATAGAGAAAACTGACGGGACTCTTGTGGGRAAACATAGGGCTATTTCTTCACCTCAGCTAGAGGAAAATCCCATGTGGAATTATTGATTTGTAAATTAGCMGAAAGRTCTAGAAACTCAAAGCAATGTATGCCCTACCACAGGAATCCCGTCTCAAATTCCTGCCAGAACAAAAAACACAAAATGTATTTAGACCGGATTATTAAGACCATGATTTTTAACTAATATATATTTTACTTTTATAAGAAGAATACTTTTTTCCTTGTAATGTCAATTTCTAGTTAGAAATTCTGTATGTATGTATTGATAAGACACTGTACAATGATCGCGTTTCCGTTCGCATTATTATCGATTTTTTGATTATTGTAATTAGAGATTTCTAGCTTTAAGATGCTTGTCATCTGGGGGGGCCTTGATATTTCATTAATAGGGCGGCTAACTTTTTATCCGACTCAAAGTCAAAACTCGGCAAATGATTATATTCTAAGTGATATTTATTGATATTTTTCCTCTTATGTCACCTCACTTTTACTGCTAACTTTTAAGGTTTTTGAAGTTCGTATTGAAGTGTCATTATCACTTTTAATATCCTATTTAACTGTTTTCGACGAGATGATTTTATCCATGTTCAATTTTACAACTAAAATTTATGACTGACGTATTGCTAATCTTAATATCCTTTGATTTAACGATTGCTTACTYATTGGATGATTCTCTAAAGTATTTGTTGGTTTTTAGAGCGGCATTTCACGCGTATTTCTACTTTGCTGAAGCATATGTAAGCGAAGCAATCAGTTGTGTATTTCATGCCTCTAATKGCGGCGGCTGTAAATGTTGTAAGCTTTGCTTCAAGTCAATTTACCATATAAATATGTACAAATTTTTTTACCCAGATTTCAGCTAATAAAAACGCATTTTTAAAATTTTGCAAAGTAGAAATTAACCGTGAGATATCGTAAAAGCTGATTTCTTTGTACTAAGTTTGTCTAAAGTAYCACATTCAACTTGCGCATCTCGTGTAATGACAATGACTTTCTGATAAAYGAAACATGCTTTTCCTGGTTATTTCTATTTTGATTAAGACAGAAAGTTGTTGAAATTTGCTACGACATCAGTCATCCATGAGCAAGTTGTATGTATTGTAGATAAGTACTATTAGAAGCCTGTGAATTAGAGAGCGAACTAAACCCTTGAAACGAAGTCCATCTGTTGACAATGCATTCATTGAAGTCATTCTGGTAGTTGAACTAATTGACGTCATATTGTAAGAGACCCATTGCCAAACACAGAAACGTCTGATAAGAACTAGTGTTCACGGAACTGTAGAATATTTCTGCAATAGACCAATCCCGAATTCGCTTGGATGAACACGGAACAATGGCTCCATGTCGAGGCTGAAGTTTTCGACAAAAGATAAAACTTCAGCCTCGGAATGAAGCCATTGTTTCGTGTTCATCCAAGCAAATGCGGGATTGGTCTATTATGCTATTTTCAAACTAATTTGTTTCAAGGGTTTACGAACGCCGCTATTTTGCTGGCTCATAAACCAACCGCCAGTKGGCTTTGAAGACAGTTTATATGTTAATAGCACTTTGCCGAGTTGACTTGGATATTTCTAAATCAGTATTATATCACGTGTAAATTTTCCTTTAGCAATGGGGTGCCCATCGCCTGCCTGTAAATGTGTACATTATGTAAATGAGGGAACAAGAGGGGGGATGGTTTGTAGCAATGTCAAGATACACCCTATAGGAGTTACTGTAAAAAAAATCATGGCCGCATCCCCAGGATCAATTACTGTTAAGCCAAATTCCTGTAGTATTACGATTGAAGAGTAAATTTTTGTGCCTGTTGTAAAGTATAAAAAATTCGAGGCATTTTTGAAGGTGTTTTTCGTATAAGCAATGTTAATAATATGTAAGCTAAGAATTGTGAAAAGAATTGAAGATCGTTTAGGATCACTTATGAATATGACTTAGATAAAACTATGTAAAGTTTCATAACAATGAACCGTTGTAGGTTGGACACATTGTATAATTAATTAAATGCTCGGCTAGAGCCTCGTGAATTAACTCGCCAAACCTACGATAAATGGGTGAGTTATATTGTATTTTGTAAAACGCTAGATTTCTGGTGTATTCTAATATCTATAGCCTTGTAAAATTGTATGCAGTTATGTAGAAACTGTACATCGTGTAAAGGAATTATAATAGGTCATTTTCAAATGTTGTATTAAAATTATAGTGGTTTACTGAAATGTTGATTTTTTATTTGATATCGGCAAAGTGATCGCCAAGACGCACAACCCTGAGCCGAAAACTTTAGMTCTCGACAAAATGTTTGTGAACACACCCCCACTGCCCTGTTTCAAAGTTGGCCTGATAATATCGCAGCTACAACATTTACTGTGGGGGGAGGGGGAGGGCTTGAGCGAGGATTTAAACAGCCCATAACAAAGCGCATCTGCTATAGCACAGTAATAGTGMTCTGTCCCATTTAATTTTGTCCATGATTATTCATTCAAAAATAAGAAAAAATGGGAAAAGAATCAGGCATGCAACTGAGAAGCACACTAATCGCTGGTACGTCGAAAGTCGAGTTTGATATCCGCTTCGTGAAGCGCTTCTCGGTGGAGTAATTTTTYCCCCAAATATCTCCGATACGTGGGAGCAATAACCTTGACATGACCGAATGAAAAGGTGGATCTGATATACACCTAATTGAAAAAACGTAGTCGTGTTCTAAAAGGTCACATCATAGAAGCTAAGACCTAAAGGAATTTTGAGTACCACCAAATTGGGATTACATTTGCATATACGGTGTACACTAAGCAAGTAGAGCTAGTAAGATTAACAGCATGATAGTCTTATGCTGGAGAGCTGTTTGTTATGAAAATAGCCAAATTGTTGTCTTCTCAAGCACCCTTTCTGTCTTAGCTTCTATGATTTGACCTTTTTCAGACCCGACAACGTTTCTTCAATTAGGTGTATAAAGAGTACGAGAAGTCGTTCAAAGTCCTCCAATTCGGACTGGACGGGATTTCAAGTCCTCGACTAACGCCTCGAACTAGAACTGATACCCGATTTGCGAATTTTGACGCAGTAGTCACACAAAAAGGAATCAAGACGAGCATAAAGCTCAGTCATTCGTGAAAGACGAAGGCCTCTCATATCACAAGCCCGCCATTTTGAATGGTTTTGCAATGTATCATGGGATATATATCTCCCTTTCCTCATCAAAACAAATCGCTAAAATCGTAAAAACACTAATTAGTTTCGATTTTTCCACAGACAAAATATGCTTGTTTTCATTTTAGCTTGATTTGCCTAGTAAATGGAAATGCTTGATTAACTGTACATTTTTTTGAGGTTTTTCTTGCTGTATTTCCTTGCATGTTGATATTTGTTTGTTTTTTCGCTTCTGAGATTTACTACAATATCAATATTTCCCAATGTTTTTCAAAAACTGAGTCTACGTTACAGACAACTGGAGCACTGACATCGTTGTTCACTTGTTTACTCATTTATCAATCCCAAAATGCACTGCGTCACAAGGCTTTCCGCGGGTTGCTATATGGACTATGTCATAAAGTATGAGTGATTTGAGTGTCTATAACCAAATTGAAGTAATTTCGAATTACGAGAATGTACGAATCGTTTACGAAATTCTAACGACTGAAATTCACGAGGAAAAATCGATTTGGGCTGACCATGTGCGTTCTCTGTTTGTGCTTTCGAAGGTGAKTTGTTCTTTTATTATCACAATACAACGTGTTCAAACTCTTTTGTGTCTAGGACTATGGCACAAATTTCTATGGATTTGAAGTCAAATTTGTATTTCTAAAATATATGGCAGATTTTTGGGCGCTTTATGTGTGGTTTGCCGGTTTGTCAACGAAAGTCCGATTGCTTCGCTCGTTCGCAATTAACTGAGSTTTAATTTTTTATGGGTCTTTACGCACTGCGCCTCATCTTGATTCTTTTGTGTTTGACTACTGAAGCGAACTAGTTCGCAAATCGGCGATTGCGCGGACTTGAAATCCCGTCCAGTCTTCATTGTCGGACTTTAAACATTATGTCCACCTAAAAAGACATTTCAAATACYTCGTTTTACATTTCCGAGCGCCATCTTGAAAGGTAGCCAAGCCTTTGCATCAATGCGAGAAACGAGTTGAGCCTGCACAGGTATCTAATGCAAGCTCAACTGCTGTCTTGCTTTGATGCGAAGGCTTGGCTACTGTTAGCGAYGGGAAGTGGTTTCTTTTCCTGAGGACTCTCGATATCAATCTAGAAGTAATCSCAATATGTTCAATASAAGGGTTTCTGTCCAACGGTCTTAAGGAGGTGTTCTACCAAGTCTGTCTCTCTTTGGACTCCTCAGTCAGGGGCGGATC